ACTCCCTACCAGAACCCCATCCGTTGCCAGTCTGTTCTGTCAACAGAACATGCTATTCTGTAAAATCTGGTACTTAGTTTAAAAAGCTAAAAACCAATACAGTCTATTCACCCCCCCTCTAGACTGTATCCAGTACAACCGGGACCAACACACCCATTCAAAAGTTTTTACTTGCGGGTTCGAACTACTAACCTCGGGTGGCGAGTTAAACTCTTGCTAGAGGCCTAGAACCACGTTCTTCCGAGCAATTTTGTCACTTAATTGACATTCACATTTCCGAAAAGGTTGATATACTTTAGTTCACTGGGGTTGGATTATCCGTTCGAATGGTGACTCCGAGTCACTTACTCGCGGATTCAATCTTCCTTTCGGAGACTGGGTTGAGGTCTAACTTGGGAACTTGTTGTCACTCTTTTCGAGTAGTGAGTCTGACTCGCTTACTCACTGAACCATGGTTCAGAACCGGGTCAGCTGCTCTATTCTACACTTGTTGCTTTATGTGTAGGTATGACTGAACGAAGACGAACCTGATGAGTCCGAGCCCGATGAGAAGAACGATTCTAGCCATCCTCTTTGCTGATGGTGACCATTGCAATAAAAGGCTGAAGATTTCACCCTTTGCTTCATCTTGGGGGCATCAAGTGTACTCTTTTTTCCTTCATTAGGATTTTTTCCCATTGGGTTTTTTCCTAATGAAGGTTTTTAATGAGGCATCTCCCCAACATGGACAAGGGCAGAGATCTTCCAGTCTCGGAGAAGGGCAGCTGACTTGGACTACTCCCTCTTAGTCGAGTCTACTACTCGACTAAGGGAGTGGGGGACTCGTGATGGAGTTATGGGACTAGACCCAGAGCCTAATCGGCCCAAGCCCCGAACTTGGACCCGTGGATCCAGGTCCACAACCTGGAGCCTGCCTACCATCCCAACTGGGAACCTGCCAGTTCAGCCGACCTGCCAGCCAGGAAAAGTAACAGTCAAGCAATTAATGCGCGTTTAATTATGTATTTAATTCTGTATTAATGTTGTAATTAATTAGTCATTATTATCGGTAGCGGTTACGAATTGTATACGCCTATAAAAGGCACTTTGTAATTCAAACTAAGGAAGCAAATTCTACATGCTATTTCTGGCTACCAAATCCCCTTTGCAACTTTCCTTATTCATATTACTTTCTTGATTCCCGCTTGAGTGTCGTACGTAGCTTTCCTAAAAGCCTACGAGCATCCTATTTTGGACCAACAACACCATTTATATTTATTTAAGTGAACAAGGTCTCGCACTTAATCTCCCACTTATATTAAGATAACACAATGCTTATTTTTCATAGCATCTGAGATAGCCTCTTTTAAAATAACTCCATTTATTTTTCAAAGATGCTATGAAAAATAAGCATTGTGTTATCTCAGATGCTATGAAATTAAAATAAGCATACTCAAATCACAAAAGAGGCTCAAAATGGATCCATTAGGAATAAAATATGCCTCTTGCAGTTTATACAGGTTTACTGCCATAATTCTTTGATATTGAAAATAAAATGGAGCCTACACACTAAATAGATATAATTATTTGGTTTAAGGTTGTCACCCCAGATTGAAAAAATGAAAGACCAAATCATTGGATTTATAAATAAATGTTTTCATGTAGCATGTATAATTTTTAATGTGCATTGTGATGTAGTTGTTGGATAAGTTGGTTAACCTTGAATGTTTTTGGATTGATTGTTTTTTCCAACTCTATGTATAATTTAGTATCCCATTCTACTACTAACTTACATACTTAATGGGTGTATTAAGTCTTAAGTTTCACTTGACTCTCTAAGAGTTGATCTAATATAGAAATAGCTCAGGATATGTGTTTTCTATTTTTTCCTTCAGATGACATAATAATGCGAACCTTCACTTTTATGTACTTTGAAGTTCTACATTAATTATTATACACATTGTGTATTGTGTTATAGAAGCATTAGTATTCTCAAACTCAATGTTCCATTAATTTATGATTCAATTTTTTTTTGCAAACTTTTTTTACCAGATGTGAATGTAGTTATTAGACTGATGGATGATCCTACTCTTAAATTGGTAGATTCACTGAACAAGAATAAATTTTCTATTTCTTATTTTCCTTTTGTTGTATACCCCAGTGACTATTTTTTCCTTCAGATGTGGATGGTGACAAGTCAAGCAAGTGCTTTTTAGCAACAAACTTATTCAACTATAGAAACCATTAATGTTGGAATAAGATTAAGCAGTGAGAAAAAGTTTTAACATCTCAACTTTGGAGGTTGTCCATGCTAGATTGGACGAAGATCACAACAACAGTGATATATATATATATATATATATATATATATATATATATATATATATATATATATATATATATATATATATATATATATATATATATATATATATATATATATATATATATATATATATATATATATATATATATATATATATATATATATATATATATATATATATCGGGAGCGGTTCCGGTAAGAACGGACTCCCATGAGAGAAATGAGAACGAATCTGGACCGTTGGATTATTTTATGTCGATCTAGATTGTGCACTTGGTGAAACTGAAATGTGCATCACATGATATTGAAATGTGCAGAATAAAAATTTAAACCCAAGTGTGCATTAGGTGAAACTGCAATGTGCGGAATAAAAGGTACAAAAATAATATCACATCGTACCTTTTATTCTGCACATTTCAATTTCACCTAGTGCACATTTCAATTTCACCTAATGCACAATGCAACTTCACATAATGTCACTGTATCGTACCATTTGTGTTGCACATTTCAATTTCACCTAATGCACATTACGGTTTCATCTAATGCACATTGAATTTCACTTAAAGCAAATCTAACGGTCCAGATTCATTCTCATTTTTCTCATAAGATCATGTTCTTATTTGAACCAAAACACACACACACACACACATATATATACACACACACACACACACACACACACACACATACATACACATACTTTCCGCTACATCATCAAGCATGGTTGATGTAAAATGCAGAACAAGATGTATCACAATGATATGAGGAAGGGTGATGAGTAGGTCACTGCTAGATGGATCGAAGCCATTGGGGTTCAAGTAGGTCACCAACTTTCTGAAAGATACACGATGAAACAAACTCGGTTCAGTGGCCATTTGGAAACTATCAAGTTCATCTGCAAGGACTTATGATCTGAGCTCTTTAAGAAACAGATAGACAACCTCAAAACAAACCATAGGGATACCTTTGTGTTGCAAGACAATAGGTTTCGTTGGCTGTCTCGGATGCCTATGGATCCATCACTTGAAACCTCTAGATCTATTCAAGATCCATCTGCCATGGCTGAGAATAAAACTGCACCAACAATAGGAATGCACCTTTATTTCCCTTGTGGAATCATCAGAGGAGCACTTTCAAACATTGGAATTCCATGTGCAACATCTACAAATATATCTATCCTGCCTGCATGCTCATTTGTGGTTCATATAAAGGCTTGATGTGCTCTGGCGATAACTAAATGGTGGTTGGGTTCAGATTGCCATCACTTTTTTTATCATATCTGTTTGTGTTTTCAATTCTAAATTCTGATCAACTACATATCTCCAACTGAACTATTGTATTGGCCGTCAATCTATCTATTATTACGCACGTGCACCATATTCAGGGGTTGTTATCATTGCTTTGAGTTTGGAAAAAAGAAGAAGAGGAAGAGTGATGAGTTTAAGAATCTATTCATTTCCATTGTACCTGATTTATTCAAGCTAATTTCATGATTCTGGAATAAACATAAATCTTTGTATTTTTAAGGGTTCGAATCGAAGGTCACAATTGTGAACTTTAAAATTGGTTAAATATGAATTGTGAATGTTAGTGTTTTGACGTCCATTGTGGATTTGGCCTTTGCCTCCATCTAGCTTCCTTAATGCCCAATATCAAATTCATAGTGGCTACAAACGCTCCATTCAAAATTTTGAAGAAATTGTTTTATGTGAGGTAATTTTTCGATAATGCTAACTGCCCTCAAAGTACAAAAAAATGGATGTGCTGAATTTGATGTATATTAAAACACTAATTTATTGTGTTAGTCCTTTGATAAGAATATACTTATAGGAATTATTGATAAACCTAATAACTATTGTGTAATTTGAAAAGAGTAATTTCATGTAACATACTAAGTACTTATTGGATTGATAAAACTCCTAATTAATTTGTTATCCCGTGCATCGCACGGGTTAAAGACTAGTTATGAAACTAACAAAATAAAGTTTGTCTTAAACAACGTATCATGAAATATAAAATTGTTGATAAATTTGTTATAATTCTTATAGATATATTTATTGATAATTTATTAAATAATTTATTCAAAATTTTTAAGGGTCAATTTCATACTGTATAAATTATGAATTATAAATATATAAAAAAACAAACGAAAATAACATGAACACAAATCTTGGGCCATGAGCTGTGGTGAAATACGTAGGTTACGTATGTACCAGGCACAAGGATTAAATAAAAGCTGATTAAATAGGATTGAAATTTGGGCAAAATAACAAAAATACATGGCTGTACGGTTCCCACCCGTACAACCAGGTGTATTGTATATGAATCCGTTTGTTTTGGCTTTTAAATTTTCACAACGGTTTCAACCATGAAGTGAATGAGGTTATTATATACGGGAGAGTTCCCGAAACAGGACTAAAACAGTTTCAAAATTCCAAAATAGACTGTCATATTTTTTATTCCCAAAATAGGACTAATTACTGCCATGTTTAGAAAATATTGCCATGTTTGAAGTTTGTTACTGCCAAAACATGACAATAATTAGTCATATTTTGAAAATAAAAATATGACAATCTTATTTTGGAATTTTCAAACTGTTTTAGTCCTATTTCAGGTAATATCTCCATTTACTCTATTTTGAGAAATCTCCTGAAAAAACATGATAGCCTAAACTAGGAGATTTGGTTTAACAACGAAAAAATGAGGGAGAACAATGAGAAACAGAAAAGATTTTCTCTTCCCATACAAGAATCCACCGTAAACATAAAAAGCACCAGTTTTCTCTTGATAAAGTCGAACCTCCTCATCTCTAGCATACGGGTACGATTCTTGATTTGTCACCCTCTAATGTGTAAAAAATGTCCATTTCTATATTGTTTGCATGCATTATTCAATCATCATCCATTGTTTCAAATTCTGATTCAATTGATCGGTTTCTATAAATTTGTGTATATAATATTCCTATATGTGTATCATATTCCTTTTTGTGTAATACTCGTATGAATGTATCTATCTGTGGGTGCTTATATTTGTGTATTAATGATTGCAAAATTATGCCTTTATTGACTGGTTTTTGTTCTTTTCCCCTAATTGGAATTGAGTTCTTCTGAATTGGTATTTTTTTTACAGATTCGAATGGGGAAGAAGAAGTTTTGAGAGAGATGGGTAGGAAAGATGTGGTTTTTGCCATAGCAGCATGCTTTAGAGAAGCTTGCCACCACCCATTCTTAGTGGCCATATTGTGTTTCTTAGTATTTTTGCACAGATCATTCCCATGTCTCTTTTCCTTATTACTCTCTGTCTTTCCCGTCATATTCTGCACTTTTCTTTTACTTGGAGTGTTGCTTAGCTACAGCCAACCCGAATTCCCCAAAACTGAAAGGGGTGAAGAAAGGATTCACACGGGCGTGCATTTTAAACCGCAGTTAACCCAAGATGTTGACATCATTGAAAGAGATGACAGATTTTTGAAAGTTCAGTTTGGATTTCAGAGTTCTAGTGAATTTGGAAATGATAAATGTGTAAGCTCTTGTGATGATTCCAAGCACGTCGATACCGAGCAACACGAGGAAGAAGATGATGAGAATTTAGATTCACTATCGGATCGAACATCTGTTGTTGACATTGTTCCGATTCTTGATGAGCTCCACCCACTTTTAGATAATGGTATCGAATCTGAAGACAGTATGGGGGAAGAAACCAAATTGTTACAAGATGAAGATGATGAGGAAACACTTGGAAGTGAAGGTTGCTTATCAACGAGTGCGTTCAAGTGGACCGAGGAAGATGAGAAGAACGTGATGGAAGTGGGAAGCTCCGAGCTTGAACGAAACCAACTTCTGGAGCGTGTTATGGAGAGGCGAAAGTCAAGAAAATGTGTGAGTATGATGGGCATAAAGGAATTCTCAAGCTTGGAAAGTTCTAGTCCTCAAAGTAACGTTCCACCCCACATCATAGTCACGAGAAGGCATAACCCTTTTGATCTTTTGAGCGGCGATATGTACAATGAACAAGAAGGATTGCCCCCAATTCCTGGATCAGCTCCATCTGTTTTAATACCGAGGCAAAACCCCTTCGACGTTCCTTATGATATTTCAATAGAAAATTCTCAACTTGATTTTCAACCTAAAGATGCATTCTACCGTAGGAGCGGGACTTTTAGTGCAGGACCATATGGGTCTTGCTTTTTTGATGAAGAAACAAGCTACTCAGGGGCTTATACACACTCAAATGACTCAAAGTCAAGTTCGGTTACTGAAACTGATTCGACGGGCTCAAAGAACCCCGATGACACCAATGTCATCAACGAAGATATAGAAGAAAATAAAATTTTGGTCTCCGAAAACGTGGGGCACGGGAGTGAATCATCCGAAGAAGACGAGTCTTTGGAATTGGGCATGAGAAATGTTTTAGTGGATGAGATTGTAATGAACAGCAGCAATAGTCTTTCCAGCTCCTCCTCGTCATCATCAGAGGCAAGTGAAAGAATTTCCATTGAGAACGAAAAGAATTTGTGTGTGGACAATGAGATTTCAAGACAACTTTCGTTGGATGGATCAGAGTTAGACGAGGAGAGTGGGCGCAAGGGAGAGCCTGTTTATGATATAAGCCCTCCTCGTGTTAGGAGAAACTTTTCCTCTTCATCCATTGTTTTTGATCTACATGAGCCGTGGTTTCCTCCTGTACAAGTCAAGAGAACTGTGTCCTTTGCTGAAGGTGTTATTATGATGGGAAGCAATCGAGAGAGTGATATCATGTCCTCTCCTTTTGCCAAGGAGAAGATTTTTGGAAGAACCCCCAAGCAAGAACAACTTTTCCCATCAATGTCTGATGCAAATACACAAGAAAGTTTATCATAGATAGTCAAGCCTAGTACAAATCATGAGCAAGATTAATGATGGTTCAAGATTCAATCTGTTTAGATAAAATCAGCCTAGAATTGAGAATTCTCATTCGTCGAATAGATAGACCTTTTCAGTGTGCAAGATTGTTGCAAGCTAATTTGTAGTTTAGACATTGCTTCTCACCTAGAATCACATTTCATATCTTTATCATATGAAAATGTCCTTGAGGATTGGGTTGTAAGGCAATAGGTTTGGATTGTCCTTCCAAATATTAAATTAAATCGTGTGCAAGTTTTTCTTGATAAAGTAGAATATTATTTTTTTATTTGTAAGGTAAAATATTGCCTAGTCCTTTGTTGATTTCCTACAATATAATGCATGTTTTGGTTGTTTTGAAGGTTTGACGAAGGAAAAAACATTCTTTTTGTATTTGTCGGTTATGTAAAACTGTACTAGATTTCCATGTGACCATGTGTGCGGTTTAGCCCGTTTACAGGTTTTATGGTGTTTTTCTTGTAATCTTTCATCATAAAGTCATTCTTAAGTTTATTTTTATTATATCTATCATTGAAATTCAATCTTTATAAAATATATATTAAGTTTATTCTTAGAATCCTGGTTAGCTTTTTTGCATTTTAAACATGTTTTACGCTACCGTTATTTTGAAAGAAAAAAAAAACTCTTACTTCACGTATAAAACATATCTTCCCCATATTTAAAAAAAACATGAAAAAATAAAACATATGAACACATTAAATGCATAGGGAATCAACAATAGTTTAAAAGCCAAAAAGAGAAAGGATGACACCCCAACCCTGAGGGTCCCTCAACCCCGATCAGATGGTACGTCGGGAGGATGTGAATTGGACTATAATCCCAATCTAACAGATATGAACACATTAAATGCATAGGTACTTGAAGAGGTCTTATGCATTTTAGCATAGTAACCCCTCATCACAGTTGCCGGGATTCGAACCCGGGACCTAACCCTTATGGCACTCCCTCGCTACCAGTTGAGCTACGCCCATCGGTAAAGCCAAAAAGAGAAGATCCTCCGTGTGACCATGTGTTTTTGTATTGTTACAACACAATTATTAAATGCTCAAATTAATTGCATGACGGCTAAAACTAACATCCCAAATTTTACAAAAATTAAAAAGCATGAATGGATTAATTGAATAAATGCTCTAAATGCATAAGAGATCAACAATAGTTTAAAAGAAAAACGAAAATCTCCCCCATGTGACCTCATGTTTTTGTATTGTTACAATACAATTATTAAATACTAAAATTAATTGCAGACATGGAGGTTAAAGTTAGCATCATAAAAGACTAAAACATAAAATACTGCTATGTACTAGATTTCTGAATGTTTTTTCATGTAAGCGTATCAAAGTTAAAGTTTTTTTTTAATTTGTCATTATTATATTAAACGATAGGGAAGTTGGTCGTTTCACTTGTATTACGATTTACGAGCCTGATGCAGAAAAGAGGCCGCCCACTAGGAATACAAGCCGTCAAGCATCATCTTCTATAGTACATTTTTACCATATCCGAGTAACACACTTGAAGCTGAAATCGATCGAAGGGAGAAGATGGCAGAAGGCAATGGAAAAAAAGCAGTTGTGGTTATGTTGTTTTGGGGAGGGGAGATGATAAAAAGGGGAGATCTCGGGTCCGTGGATTATTCGGATCCGCCTAAAACGATGCGTTTCCTGAGTCGCAACTGGTGGCAGAAGTGCATTCGGCGATGAACACCACTGCCGAGGAAACGAGTTTGGATCTGTTCGGAAAGTACCCGACCCAGATAGACGGAGAGAAAGTCGTGTTCGTCTCTGTTCCGCTAACGGACAACGATTCGTGGCGGCGGTTTTTGCAAGCGATGGATCTATCCCATCCCGTTCATGTTTATGTCATTGCCTCCAGAAAGGATCCAGCCGGCGTGCGGAAGAGGAAAGCCAGAGTGGGGATTTATCCGCTAACGCGGGTCCTTGTGAAGACTTTGTCGGGGAAGACCTTTGTCATCGAGCAGAACGGTGTTTTAAAAGGAACGAATACATGATTCGGAAGGCATTCCGCCTGACAAGCAGCGTCTCCTCTTCGGGGGAAAGCTACTGGAGGACGGTGATATGCTTAGGAACTACTACATCCAACAGGATTCCACTATGCATCTCATCCAACCCCGATGCGGTTGTTAGTTGCCTTTTTTAAGCCATTCAACCATTCCCCAGATGGAGGGGTATTTGGGTTCAGGTCTTTTCCCTTCTTGCTTTATCGATTTGAATGCTTGAGTGATGTATGCTGCAATGGTTTTTTGCTCAAAATTTTGGATATTGGAATTCAGCTGGCTGCCTCACCCAAGGGGTCTGTTTGGTTTGGGTTATCTCACACAGAGGACGCAATGTATTGTCTGGAACTTTACTTGATCATGTTTGGTTCACGGTTTTGAGAAAAAAATCAGGAAAGTTATATTCCCGCGAATGTAATATGTAGGGGATGTTATACCCGTTCATGCCTTATTTATTAGACATTCTCGAGGATGATCTAATTTTCTTCCGAAAATATCCTAATTAATTATCGCTTTTCATTTAATTTCTCTATGTATTCAACTTTTATCAAATTTGAATTTTGTGATTTTAAAAAGCTTTTAATGTAGTTTCTAAAAAAAAGTCATTATATTTTTTGTATAAACTTTTACTTATACACAATAATAAGCCCGTGTAGCAGTCACACAACTTTTCTCATATGTCATCCGTCATCTTGATGAAAATGATGAGTTTAAACTGTGTTATTATAACTTAGTCTCATATGTCATCCGTCTTACTAGCCGTTGGCACATTTATTTTTATTCATGATCTAATTAAAATAAAAATAACTTTTTAGGATTCTAAATTTTTGAAAAATAACTATTTTCTTATATGTAAATAGAAGAGTACAATAAGCTAATACCATAAAGGCATAAAGTATAAGCTCATACAATTAATATTTAATGAAGAGTATATTAGGGAAGATTAATTGACACCACTCATTAGAATTTGTTTCTTATTATTTTTATGAGTAAATTAATTTAAAATTAAATATTATTCTTAAAAAGTGAATACAATATGTGAGTGACATAAAGTTTAAGTGAATATAATAAATATTAAATTTAACAAATATTAGTTAAATGAGAACTTGTTACTCATTAGTCAAATTAGTGCTAACATATGAAGGAAGATTATTCTGCTCAATTGTTAGTACATGTACATGAGATAAAATTCTAACGCTTTATTATTAGCGGGTTTATCTTATCTTATATTTAAAAGAACTACATATATGAGAGCAAATCATCCCGCTTAATTGTTAGCAAACTTATCTTCTATCTTATGTAATACTTAAAAACACTACATATGGTAGAGAAATATTTCCACTCAATTATTAGCAAGCTTACTTTCTTATATCTAAAAGCACTACATATGAGAGAGAAACTTTTTCCACTCAATTGTTAGCCGACTTATCTTTTTTTACTCGAAAGCAGTACATATGAGAGAAAATTGATTCGCTCAATTATTAGTTAGATTATCTCATACTTAAAAAGAGAAAATTCTCTATGTTCTTGGATGAATTAGTCTTGAAACTGCAAACGTTGACTATGTGAATAGTGAATACTCAATTCCGATCTCCTTGAGCTACACTTTATTTTAATTAATTACCTAATAATCATCGGTAGATTCGTCAAAACCAAATCCAAAAGAGTATCACCATTGATGGAGTATATGGGTCAAGGCCTCAGGACCCACATACTCAGGAGAACAGAAGGCACAGCTGTCACCCAGTGAAATCCTCATCGGCCGGATGACCCTCATCGGCCGGAACGAAGTCAACCTCGAACATGATCCGGAAGCCGGAAGAACCGGGTGACCTCGTCGGCCGGGTCTTCATCGGCCATGCACTCATCGGCCACAAAGAACTCCCAGAATCGGATTTTACACTTACTCATTTGTATACTCCATCATTTACTTTGTATTCGGCCCAATAGTGGTCCAGTTGTAAATGGGCCTCCCAAGCCCAAGGCTTGGTAGCCCAGCCCGTATTTTTCCTATAAATACTTCCTCTGAAGGTAGTTGTAGGGGTTGGAAAATCATTTATTGAAGCATTTACTTGCACTTCTCTCTCTAGATCTCACTTCTCTCTAGAATATAATCTATCAACCATGATCGAAACTCCATGACTTTAATTCCACCACCACATGGAGTAGCATTTTGAATTCCCTCGCAGAAGACTCTAATTCCACACCTCCACACAAATCCAGAATAGAAAGCCTTTTTGGAATCTATTTGTAAAGGAAAGGGGATGGTCATCTTACCAAAAGTTCACTTAGATAATGCCGAATTCAAACAACATGAACTGGAATGAAATTCTCGTTAGAACTCTTGGCTTGGTTGTTTTCAGTAGAAAGTATTGTTTTTGAAGCCAAGGCTTTTTTGGAAGGATGGCGTAGAGCCCAGGAGGGAGTTTTGCGGACAAGTCAACAACATGGAGGTGTGGCGACCTGGAAACGACCAGAGTATGACCGACCAAAGCTTAATACAAATGCTTCTCTTTTGCCTGGTAACATTAGTGGGCTGGGATGGGTTGTTCGTAATAGTGAAGGTTTCTTTTTTGTAGGAGGCGTGAATACTTGTCATAGATGTTCCCTGATGATGGCCGAAGCTTTATCCATAAGAGAGGCACTAAGTTGGCTGAAACAACATGGATGAGATAATATTGATGTTGAATCAGACTCTCTTCAGATTATTAGCAGAATCAAATCGGGGCCGGGTGACTCCTTACCAGGATTAATCGTGGAAGATATTAGAGATATTTCTTCTGGCCTTACCAGCATTTCCTTTTCTCACGTGAAGCGATATGCGAATCGAGTGGCCCATGACCTTGCTTGGGCTGCTGTTTCTATGTCCGATCGCTATATTTAGCTTTATATTAATCCTCCTTGTATTACTTATTCTTTGGACCATGACTTTATTAATACTCCCTCCGTCTCTTAATACATTGTCATCTTTCCATTTTGGGACATCCCAAAAAACTTTACCACTATCCTTTTTAATCAATTATTTTGTGGTTTCTTTTATTTCTCTCTCCTCTGCACAAACCTCAACCACACAGTTTTTACTTTATTGTTCTCCGTGCCGGTCAACTTTTGCAAAGTTTTAAGGGACGAAGGTAGTGATAATTAACTAGTTTCCTTAAAAAAAGAATATAGAAAGCCATAATTTCGAAAGGCACATGAATTTTAAGATGTATTTTAATGTTAATATAAGATTACAAGTTTGTATATTAAAAAAACAACACAGATTATGTTGATTGTTGAACTGTTTAAGAAACATAAGACTCCTTAATAGGCTTAAACATATATACACCTTAGAAGTGTACACCAAAGTTTTTTTTAAACGCGACACTAATTCTTGGCTAGGTACAAGAACGGTGTAATATTTCAGGAATTCATCAAGAATCTTAAAAAACATGAGGCTAATTTAAGGTGTAATATAAGCCTAATTTAAAAAACATGAGGCTAATTCATCAAAACTATTTTCTTGTTTGAGAAATAAAAGCTTAATTATAATTAGTAAAATCATAGTTCAAAACATTAACAATGAAATCATGAGGATGAGCTAACCAAATACGGCAATTAGACATAAAAACAGCAACCTTTGCAAAGTTCCAAAATACAATCTAAGCAAAGATATTTAAAAAATACTGTTTGATGTCAACCATGTTGATAAATCATGAAATAATACACTTTGAATCCTGAGATTCAGATGATTATTAGAACTTGCTTACGGAATTAGATATTTTAGTTATTGTTTTTAACATTGTCTTAGCCCAATAAATCTTCCTTCTCCCCTAGTTTTCATCATCTTAAAGTGTTGTTTTTCTTGCTATCAATCTTTAATGGAATAATTTGGAATTACATGTTTCAGTTAAAGTTTTATTTTTCATAAAACTGATCAACTATATTCTATAATAATTAAAAAGAAATCCTTAATTCAAAATGCTAAAGTCCTTCCCAATATATCACCAAAGGTATTGCCTTTGCAAATGAATCTTCTTCACCCTCTATATGTGTAATTTTAGAGTTTCAACACATGTTAAGTGGCAAATGTGTAATATGAGCAGTTAGTTAAGAAAAAGTCTTTAGACCTACCTCAATCATTTGATTTTTAAGATCTAGAACAGATCTTCCAAGTAGTTGAAGGCATTCATGATCCCCTAATACAAACTTTGCATGGTTTTTTCATGATACACCATGATTTCTAATTTTCATCTATTAGAAAATCTTAAACATATTAAGATTATAATGTAGCTGTTGAGGTTTAATCCCACGGATCCGAAAGCCCAACACGAACTTTGGATATATTAGGAAAATGAATCAAGAATCACTTGTAAAGAGGAAATATAAAAGATCAATGATCAAATACTCAAAAGCCCACTTGTATTAACTAATCTGATGATTACAGAGTAAACTTCCCGAACGGTACGTCGGAATAGTGAATAATACAAGAAATCAGGGAGATAAATCTATTCTAGAGTTTGAGTCTCAAAATGCTAACCCCTTACAATGAAACTAATCCTTCTATTTATACTAATGGGGGGTATAGGGTACTACATGTTGATTGGTTGCTTTATCCAATCACTTGGAAACCCATACTCCCACTACCTGCCGTCATACTTTAGCAATAAATGCTCTCTGCCACTTGTTGGCTACCCGTTGCCTGAACGGGTAATGGACCCTGCTGGCCCAAGTCCGTTGATTAGACCGAACCTCGTTCGATATATTGATCTGGAGTCATCATTGATCTGGCCTATTAACGATCTGGCCCGAACCTCGTTCGGTACATATTTTTCCATGAGCCTGTTCCTCTTCTGGATTATGGGCCCGTCTAACGGACTGGATATCTTGGGCCTTGGATCCGGGTATTGGGCCTGCGGCCCAATATCCCAACAATATATATATATATATATATATATATATATATATATATATATATATATTGATGGATAGTGCACCCGGGGGTAGCTTATCCGAGGGGTTATTACGGGGAATAACTAGAGAGAGGTCAGAGCAAGTGAGTATAGAGAGAGAAAGTATATTAGAAAGTATGCAATGTGAGTATTGTGTCTTACGACCTGGTTACAAATGGGGAAATGGGGTGCTATTTATAGTAGCAATAAATGCCGGACAGGGACACGTGTCAAGCGTCCATTGGCCGAGAGGTCACCTCAACTGGTTGGCGCTGGCAACCGCATGTGGCCGCATTTAATGCGGCTGTTGGATGGGACGTTGTACAGGGTACGGTGATCCATACGCATGTGGAGCGGATATTATGTCGGGAAAGGTGCCCTCGGTTGTAGATGACTAGCCGAGGGCTCTGAGTACCGGGGACCCCCTTAGTGCCGAGAACCCCAGTTGCCGAGGGCTACTGATTTTCGCCGTTTTTTCCAGTAACTTTGTTTTCCTGTCTTGGCCCTCCTGTGAGAATTAGAGCCTTCGACCAGGGGGCCGAAGGCACCCCCCTGGTGCGCATTGTGGGCTGCTTGGTACCCTGGGCGCTGTG